ATGACTGTCAAGTCAGTATGTCAGAGCCTGTATGGTCTCTGGGATGTGGAATTGGTTCAGTGGCTAACAATGGAAGATAGCTACTTAAAGGTACACATTGTGGAAATTTTAAACAGGAACAACTTGTCTGGAAGGTGTATTAGATCCACCAGCATCTGAAAAGAGAAATGATGGGCTAACTTTGGCTGCAGACATTTTGTCAAAATTGAAACTGTTACATATTTTTACTTTTCGTTTCTAACAAAGACTTGTGGTATAGTAAAATTAGTCTTTTCCAGATGCATCTTTGTATTGCAGAATTACCTGTTTTTGGTCATCTTATTAAGTCACTCACACCTCTTTGCAAAATCACACTTTTATGTTAAGTATCAGACTGATGTTCATTTTCAGTGCTTAGTTGTATAGCAGCATCTGGGCACAATACAGAGAAAAAAATGCTAGATGCTCAAATACTCATTGGAGGCTGCTCAATTGTCCTGGCCTCTAAATGAATGGAAATAGAATAGAGTGATACATAAACCTCACTGCCCTCCTGATTATCTTTCTGCTGCTTCCAGGCAATGCTTTAGGTCTAACTGTTCAATGGTTAAAATCTCCTTCGGTGTATTAAGGATGCAAGGGGAAGCTAAGGCAAAAAAAACTAATATGTCTACCGTGGCATGTCGAGTTTAAATATAAGATTTTTAATATTGAACTGTGAAAAGTAAATATCAAATTCTGTTGCAATTGACAAATGTGAATTCATCAAATTATGTTTAAAAAGAACAAAACAGTAGTGTGTCATATGCTGTCAGGAGGTTTTAATTTTACACTCCTGACCAGCACTCACTTCCTTGTATAAGTCATGCTACACATCTGCATTGGTAATAGCAAACAAAAGAAACCATCTGATCGTGCATAGGCATGACCAATATTGTTCTGTCCAGTCTATATGCAAGGATGATATTTGCATTTCATTCAATTACTATTTTCCTAAATACAAATTACTGTTTTTCACATACTGCTCTTGTATAAACTTGGTATTTTTAAATCCTCCTTCTGTGAAACACACTAATTTCTTAGTGCAAAGCATTTTTCTGTAGTTGTTTACACTAAACCTTATCCATCCTTTCATCGTCATTCATTAACATCTTCATCTAATCTAGACAGTCAACTTGCCTTTCTAAATCCCGAACCAGTTTCAATGGCTGTATGGACTGCAAACGAAATAATACACCTATAGCAGAGGTAAAGGGAAGTTATATCACAAATCCTATCTCTCATTTTAATTCTTTTAAAATGCTGCAAGCCATTTTTATGTGCAGATGTTGCTCCTTTTGGGAGAGTGTATTTTAAGAGCTAGCTGCCCTCTCTGTAGCTTTCGTTGTACTGATGGGGAGTGAAAATAAGGTTAGTTTAACTGTGGCATCCTAGCTGCAGCTCAGCATGCATTACTGTTACTGAGTATATTACACAATAGCCATTTTGCATGCTGCAAGATCAGAAAACTGAAATGAATGGCTTGTTCGTTTCTTAGGTGATGTGAGGAAGAAATTTGACTCGGATTCCAAGATAACTCCTTGCTGCTTTCCAAATAGTATAAATACTGTTATCGTATACCTGAGCCACTAAATCAAGAAGCCAGAAACTCTTCATCTGATGGATTGCTTAACCAGTGGTGCCATACCCCTCAAGCCTATCCTATATGAATTCAGAAGCAGAATGTGGTGGATATAGAGCTATATCATTTTTTGTCCAGACATGGATCAACAAATCTAGTTACTGGGCATCTAAGCTGTGCGGTTGGCCTTGAATCTGCAAATATTTTATCCAGAGACAAATAATAAATGTGAAAGGGTTTATTGTTTATGAAGTTGTTGATGCATTCAGTGGCCAAAGACATCAGTGACAGGACAAAAAAAAACTCGCCTCCCTCTTTTTGGTTTTGGGGTGGTCACTGAAATAGTAGGGTAAAATGCAGGTACACTTTGCCAACCAGTACTGTTTGAATAGGATATCCTGTAGAGCTAAGATGGAGTTTACAATGTATCTCACACCTTGGTTTCTTTTGGTCAGCCAGTCATTACAACAGTCAGAGTCTGGAAGCAAGCAATGACTTTTGATCACAGCCTAGCCGACATTCCTAGAACCATATATCCATTGTCACTTTCCCTTTCAGCCTTTTCTTCTACTACACAGTCTCAGTATTTCAATGTTATATAGCCAATCAAAGGCATTGAATCTAACATAAATTACTGTTTCTCTCAGATGTAATGGTGGGCGATTTTTTAACTTTCTAAACATAGACTGAGACTGCCATAATGTTAAGGGCTTGGATGGAGAGAAATTTGTTAAGTGTGTACAAGAAAATATTCTTATTCAATATGTGGATGTACCTACTAGAAAAACAGCAAAACCTGACCTTTTGTTGGCAAATAAGGCAGGGAAAGTGACGGAGGTGTCAGTAGGGGAGTGCTTTGGGCCAAGTGGTCATAATTCTATTAGTTTTAAAATAGTCATGGAAAAGGTTAGACCTAATGTAAAAGTTAAAGTTCTAAATTGGAGTAAGGACAATTTTGACAGTATAAGGAGCTTTCAAAAGTTGACTGGGGGAGGCTGTTCGCAAGTAAAGAGGTGGTTGGAAATTGGGACGCCTTCAAAAATGAGATAACGAGAGTTCAGAGACTGTATGTTCCTGTTAGTGCAAAGAACAAGGCTGGTAGGTGTAGGGAACGCTGGATGACTAGGAAAGTGGAGGTTCTGGACAAGAAACAGGCATAGACAGCTGAGATTGAGTGAATCCCTCGAAGAGTATAACGGCAGTAGGAGTATACTTGAGAGGGAAATCAGGAGAGCAAAATAGGGACATGAGATAGATTTTGCATGTAGGCTTAAGAAGAATTCAAAGACATTCTACAAATACATTAAAAGCAAATGAGTAATTAGGGAGAGAATATGGCCCCATAAAGATCAATGAGGATGTCTATTTGTGGAACCACAGAAGTTGGGTGAGACACTAAATGAGTATTTTGCATCAGCATTTACTGTGCAGAAGGACATGGAAGCTAGGGAATTTGGGGGGATAAATAGCGATGTTTTAAAAAGTGTCAGTATTACAGAAGACGAGGTGCAGGAGGTCTTAAAATATGAAGGTAGATAAATCCCCAGGATCTGATCATGTGCCTCTTAGAACTTTGTGGGAAGCTCGGGAAAAGATTGCTGGGACCCTTGCCGCGATGTTTGTATCATCAATAGCCACGGATGAGGTGCCAGAAGACTGGAGCGTGCCTAATGTGGTGCCATCATCTAAAAAAGGTGATAATGAAAAGCCAGGGAAGTATAGACTGGTGAACCTGATGTCAGGGGTGGATTAGTTTTTGGAGGGAGTTGTGAGGGATAGGATTTACATGCATTTGGAAAGGCAAGGACTGATTAGAGATAGTCAACATGGCTTTGTGCATGGTAAGTCATGTCTCACTAACTTGATTTCAGTTTTTTTGAAGAGTTGACAAAGAAGATGGAAGACAGAGTTGTAGACATTGTCTATATGAACTTCAGCAAGGCATTCAACAAGGTTCCGTATGTTAGACTGGTTAGCAAGGTTAGATCACATGGAATCCATGGGGAACTAGTCAATTGGATAGAAAATTGGTTTGAAAGTCGAAGACAGAGGATAGTGGTAGAGGGTTATTTTTTGGACTGGAGGCCTATGATCAATGGTGTGCCACAAGGATCAGTGCTAGGTCCCTATTTTTTGTCATTGTATATAACTGATTTGAATGTGAATGTAGGGGGTATAATCAGTAAGTTTGCAGATGACACCAAAATTAGTGGTCTAATGGACAGGGAAGACCTGTATCTTGGAGAGAAAAGCCGAAGGTCTTTTGCTAGGGTAGGGGAGTCCAAAACTAGAGGGCATAGGTGAGAGGGGAAAGATTTCAAAGGGACCTGAAGGGCAACTTTTTCAGAGAGAGAGGGGTACTCCTGTGAAATGAACAGGCAGGAAGTGGTGGAGGCAGGTACAATTAAAACATTTAAAAGGAATCTGAATGTATAGGAAGGGTTTAGAAGGATATGGCCGAAACGCTGGCAAATGGGACTAGATCAGTTTCGGATATGTTTTGCGTGGACGGGTTGGACCAAAGGATCTGTTTCCGTGCTGTATAACACTATGAATGACAGAGCATTACAATCCTAATGTAAAAACGCTGGAAGCATCCAGCAGGTTCAGCATCATCTGTGAACAGAAATAGATTAGATTACTGTTTGAGTTTGATACCATTTGTAAGGATTCTGATGAATAGTCATCAATCTGAAATCTCAACCTTTCTGTATAAATGCTCCCTGATCTGTTGAGTGATTACTGCATTATATATAAAAGATTTACAACCTTGACAGTATTTGCAATTTTTCAAGTAAAAACTACATCCCTAATTCCTAAGCAAAAACTAAATGCATTCTAAATAATGACAAATTAGTTGATGTTGAGTTGGGTGTGTAGTTTTGTGATCTGAACAAATCAGGGGCATTGTTTGAAAATTACAAAAACCACTTTGATTGATAGTCTAAACTACACCTTTAACTTTGCAGGATGTCCTAGTTAAATAGAAACTGAGTAATAAGGAAAGTTGCTTTGAATGAAATTTTCTTTCAATATTTGAATGCCGAAAGAAAACTACATTGGGATGAGCTTTGCAGGAAAAGTGTACCTACTCAATGGCTAAGGAACAAATAGCAGCAATCATTCATAAATGTTATAATTCCTTGTGACCGTTACTGCAGATTTCAATTGCATGATTTCAAAATGGCAAAGCAGAAATCTCTGACCAATACCAGGAATATCAATGATAATTACTATAAAAGAATTCAGCATTCATATGAATAACAATCTAATATTTTAATGAGTAATACACAATAGAATACATTGAGTTGGTTGGATCTATTAATATTTAACTTCACACAGTATAACTATTAAGGAAAAACAGAGTTTTGAAGAAAAATTGAACAATTCTCAAACTGTTTTAAGAGAATACGAGGCGGGTCTGCCCATCAATTCTTCCAGGAACCTTTTCATAGGCTAGTCTTTGTTTCTTTGCTTCTGGTAAAATTCTGTATCTTGGCTCTAATAATTGAAAAAAGCAAGGTCATGAAAAGATGGTGGGGCTCTGAAATTATGCTTAAACCATTTGTTTAAAGATATATCTATCTCTTTAATTGAGGTGTTATTCTAATGAAATTTTAGAAGAACTAATACTGCCATTAAAATAATAAAAGGCAATATAGTATAGTAGAAGATCTGAGCATTTTGTAAGAGGCTGCCTTTCTAAGTAACGCATCGCAAGGTACAGCCATGAATGGATGTGCACAGATATGCAATGTTATAATGCAATATTGTCTAACAAATAACTTCATTCAGTTTTGCATTGAATTGGAAACTTCTTGCAGAACAGTAAAGATAAGCCCTAGGCCTAACACTGTAAACTGTGAACAAGAAAACTGAGAGACTGGCTTACATCCAAGCCTGTTCCCATTCCTAGGCTTGAAGATTGGCAAAGATCTTATGCAGTGAAACTTCGTCACTCTTAATTCCACGTTTTTGTCATCTCATGTGAATACTAAAAGAACTCAGAAATTGCTTTTCTCTTGAGTGTGATATTGGCCATGTTGATAATTAAATAAGCAATCAGGAGAATTGTACGTTTGAGTTGCAAGTGAATCACATCAGCTATTTCTAATGGCTAAATGGGAGCACATTTCATTTGTTATACTGCTCCCTCTGCTGCCCATACGGTGGGTGAGGTGTAACTAAAGTTTGTTCAATAATGGCTGCCTGGAGCTGGGCGTGTGTCAATTTATTCAGTGCAATACACAACAGGCAGAATTTTTAAAAATTCACTCATGGTGCGCGGTTGTAGACTTGCTCACCGAGCCAGTGGGTTTGATTGCAAACATTTTGTCACCACGCCTCCGGTGAAGCATCGGTGTTCTGTCCCGTTTGTTATTTATATATCTCGGTTTGCTGGGGTGGTTGGTATTACTTCCAGTTTTGTTTCTCAGTGGTTGGTACACAGGGTTTTATTCAATGTGATTGTTGATGGAGTTCTGGTTGGAATAGCAGGCCTCCAGGGATTCCCGAGTGTGTCTCTGTTTGGCTTGTGTGACTATGAATCTGTTGTCCCAGTGAAATTTGTGTCCCTCATTGTCCATGTATACTGATATAAGTGAGAATTGGTCATGTCTCTTAGTGGCTAGTTGGTGTTCATGTATCCGTATAATCAGTTTTCTTCTGGTTTGGCCTATAGTGTTTCTCATAGTCCTTGCATGGTATTTTGTATATTAAACCTGTTTTGCTGGCTTTGGGTATGGGATCCTTTACGTTCATCAGTAGCTGTCATAGGGTGATTGTTAGTTTGTGGGCTACTCTTGATACCCAGGGGTCTGAGTAGTCTTGTGGTCATCTCTGAAATGTCCTTGACGTATAGTAGGGTGATTAGTGACTCTGGTCGTGATATGTCTTCCTGTTGTGGTGTGTCTCGGAGGTAACGGTGAATTGTGTTTTTCGGGTATCCATTTCTTTTGAAGACTCTGTATAAGAGTTCCTGTTCTGTTTTGCGTAGTTCCGGGTTGCTGCAATGTGTTGTGTCTTGTCTTGACACTATATATAGTGTCCTGATGCAGCTCCGTTTGCGGGCGTTGGGGTGGTTGCTAGTGTAATGGAGTATTTAGTCCGTATGTGTGGTCTTGCTATATACACTAGCCTGGAGTTCCTGTTGTTTTTGCATTCTACCATTATGTCAAGGAAGGGTAAGTCCCAAGGGGATCCCCGATATCAGGACTGATTGCAGAAGCAGTAATGCAAAGGTTAGAATGGACAGCGCTCCCCATTATACAACTCAAACTTTGGGTCCGATAATGTAGATGACACTTTTGTATTCTTAAACACACAAAACGAGAAGAAACACATTAGCACATAAACATCATCCTTACCGGGATAAAATTCATGAAAGAAGAAGAGAACAACAACTGACTACCCTTCCTGGACATAATGATAGAATGCAAAAACAACAGGGAAGTCCAGACTAGCAAATATAGAAAGACCACACACACGAACCAAAAATACTCAATTACACTAGCAACCACCCCAACGCCCACAAACGGAGCTGCATTAGAACACTTGCAGCAACCTGGAACTACGCAAAGCAGAACAGGAACACTTATACAGAGTCTTCAAAAGAAATGGATACCCGAAAAGCACAGTCTGCTGTTACCTCCAAGACAGACCACAACAGGAAGACCCAACACAACCAGGCTCATAATCACCCTACTATACATCAAGGACGTTTCAGAGATGACCACAAAACTACTCAGACCCCTAGATATCAGAGTAGCCCACAAACTAACTACCACCAACTGACGAACGTAAAGGATCCCATACCCAAAACTAGCAAAACTGGGGTAATATACAAAATACCATGCAAGGACTGTGAGAAACACTACATAGGCCAAACTGGAAGAAAACTGACTATACGGATACATGAACACCAACTAGCCACCAAGAGACATGACCATTTCTCACTTGTATCACTACACATGGACAACAAGGGACATGAATTTGACTGGGACAACACATCGATAATCGCACAAGCCAAACAGAGACACGCCAGGGAATTCCTGGAGGCCTGCTATTCCAACTGCAACTCCATCAACAAACACATTGAATTAGACCCTGTGTACAAACAACTGAAAAACAGAACCAGAAGTAATACCAATCACCCCAGCAAACCGAGGCATATAAATAACAAACGGGACAGAACACTGATGCTTCACCGGAGGCGCACTGACGATGTTATCTCGCAGGGTGACGAAACGTTTGCGATCAAACCCACCGGCTCGGTGAGCATGTCTACAATCTCATTCACAACCCAAGCTACAAATCTTCTTGAAAACTTTACACACATGTATGTAGGCATTTATTGTTCAGAGGACAATTGAGTTAACTGCATTGCTGTCACATGTAGGCTAGACAAGGTAAGCATGGCAGATGATGTTTCCCCTCCCAAATGGTTTTTAAAACAATCAACAGTGGTTACTTTGTTACCAGTTTTGAAAGTTTTTTTATTCCTCGAGTACTTAACATCCAATATAAAATTGGAAATAAGACAGTAAATTTGATACTATGCATTAACATGATTACATTTACTTAAATAGATATCTCAATTGCCAACAAGATACTTGTGCTTAATCACTTTTGATCAGAACTTAGTGTACATCTTGAGCAGTGTTTTCCAGGAGTAATATGTACATTCTGAGTAAATATGGTCTGTGGAACTTTCCAGCATGTACTCTGTGTTGACCAATGAGAAGAAAACTTACCCAACCTGACTCCTGTATCTCTTTATCTTTCTTAAATACATTTTATTCATAAAATTTATAAACATAGATTACACCACCGAAGTAAATTTTGAATATAAAGCAAAACAAACCAGTGTCTTCCAATCTGTGTATTTTCAGTTTGTAAGACTTGGTTATGGGCAATACTTTTCACTGGAAAACCAACAAGCTACAGGTAGACTGAAGTGTGTGTTTTTCATCAAGCTAATGATCTTCCAGCATGTGGAGCAGCGTCCTGCATTGTGGACCTGTTCAAGATGAACATTGACAAAAAGCACTTACCTTTTTTGAAATTTGCTTTTGCAAAGGCACATTCGAATGCTTATTTGATGGCAATTTTTTAACAATAATAATGACTATCTGGCAAGACCCACAATATCCTTTTCCTGCAAGACTTCAGTTAATTCTAATTGCAAATTATGTCAGATTTATAATTCAAAGTGTTTTTTTTTGTAAATGTATGCACACAGGACAGTGGTATGACAATGTCCAGCTGCATAAGGTGTTTTATGGTTACGTGGTCAAACCTATCCTTTACAACACCAGCACAGGTAGAACCTGATCACGTCGTAACACTTGGTGCTTATTTTACTGAGAGTCTACACACAACTTGATGTTGCCAGACACAAAGGTGGTTATTAGAGTCATACAGTAATACAGCATGGAAACAGGCCCTTCAGCCTAAACTGGTCCACACTGACCATGGTGCCCACTCAGCTAGTTACAACTGCCACATTTGGTCCATATCCCTCCAAACCCTTTCATCCATGTACCTATCCAAATGGTTTTTAAATGTTGCTGTTGCACCTGCCTCAACCACTTTCTCCGGCAGCCCATTCCAGATACACACTATTCTCTATGTGCAGAAGTTGCCCCTTAGGTCCTTCCTAAATCTATCCCCCTCAGCTTAAACCTATTCCCTCTAGTTTTCAATTCCCCATCCCTGGGAAAAAGAACTAAATGCATTCATCCTATCTATGCCCCTCATGATTTTATACACCTCAGTAAGGTCACCCCTCATTCTTCTATGTTCCAAGGAATAAAATCCTATCCTAGGAAGTGGTGAAGCGGTTGAAACAACCTCGCTGAATGTGTTTAAGGCAAGGCTAGATAAATTTTTGAACAGTAAAGGAATTAAGGGTTATGGTGTGCGGCGGGTAAGTGGAGCTGAGTCTCAAAAAGATCAGCCATGATCTTATTGAATGGCGGGGCAGGCTCGAGGGGCCGGATGGCCTACTCCTGCTCCTAGTTCTTATGTTTTTATCCTGGCTAACCTCTCCCTGTAACTCAGGCCTACTAGTCCTGGCAACATCCTCGTAAATCTTCTTCGCACACTTTCCAGTTTAACTATATCTTTCCTATAACAGGGTGACCAAAACTGTACACAATAGAGTGAACTGGGATTATTAAGATGAGGGCTACATTGAGTGCATTTTCTCCCAGCTTTACCTGGAGTTTTGTTCATCATATTGTTGTTGGACGTGATCTATTTTCAAGAGTCCATGGGTGTGAGGCTGCAAAAGCACAGCAGATAAGACAGCATCCAAGGAATAGGTAAGTCAACGTTTCGGGCCGAAACCCTTGTCCTGACAGCTAGACAGATTCAGGAACACCAACAGCACCTCTCGCCTGATTACCAGGTTCGTACCTACCATGGAGAGGGAGTTTCACTCACTCCCATTGGCCCAGTTTTTGTTTTACCATGGCTACACACTCATCTTGGATGTTAGCACATACCCAGCCCCAATGAACCATCTCCCCAGGAGCTTCAGTAGCCTGACCTGACGTTGAAGCAGGCAAAGGATCAATCAACTTTAGTGTTATTGATTTATACCTGCCAGATAAATTATGTACAACACTTTCTCAAGGGGATCAAAAGGATCTCTGAAGTGTAGCTGCTGGATTCATAACTTGGAGATCCTAACCTGCATAATTAGAATTCTAAAATATTACTGCACAGCAATGTGGCTTAACCCTATGCTCAGAAATAGTACTGCAATAGTAATCCATCTAATTCATACACGAAACAGCTTTGTGACCTCTCTGATGTAACATCTGAAATGCAAACATATATTTACAAAGCACAGATAGCACAGTTCATGGGAACAGGTGTAGGCTGTTCAGCCTGTCGAACTGACCTCACCATTCAATACAATTATGACTGATCAAACATGACTTTTACTCAGCCCATCCCCATAATCCTGTATGCCATTAGTAATCAGAAATCCATCAACCTCTCCCTTAAAGTTACTCAAAGACTGAACTTCCTCAGCCCTCTGGTAGAGAATTCAGAAGGTTCACAACTGTCTTGAGGAAAAAAATTCTCATCTCAGACTTGTGTGGCATCCCTTTATTTTTTAAGCTATGTTCCCTGGCTCTAGTCTTCCCAAACAGGGGAGTTTGCTTTTCTGCATCGACTCTGTTTATCCCTTTAAGTATTTTGTAAATTTCAGTGAGATCACCACTCATTCTTCATAACTCTCGAGAACACAGGCCCAATTTACACAATCTCTCTCCATAGGTTGTCTCACCATCCTGGGAAAGCCACAATTAGGTATGACATTAAAATCTACATATTTATATATAAATCTATTTAATGAATCAAAAACTAACCTACTGGGAAGCTCAGTAGTTTTACTAAAGAACTGCTGTGCACTGTCATGATAGTGATAAAAAATGGATTATTGATTTTCACATTCCTCATTTTAATCTCTACATTCTTCTGTAGCACCATGGATGAGTTAGGAGATTTATCTATCCCGAGACTAATGAATCTCTTCATTACCATTCATTTTTATTGTGAATAAAATAAGTTCCTCCCCGTGATTTGTTTTTAGTTCCCCTTTTATCACTGGTATTTTATCGTCTCCCTCTACTGTAAAAACTGATGCAAAGTATTTGTTTAATAAATCTGTCACTAACTAGTCATCTTAAACATCATCAGCTATCTCTGTCTTTAATGGGGTCATATTTCCCTTAGCTACACCCTGATTCTTAATATATTAATATATTCATAAGCACCTCTACTATATAAGTAGGTTCATACAGATCTACCAATGTTCATATCACAGATAATTCTCAAGAAGCCTTATTCATGGAAAGTCAAAGGATTCACTATTTTGTAAGAAGAAAACTATACCATGAAACATACAGTACATAACTCTTCTGTAAAAATGTAGGTTATGTGTCCTTTTAAGCATTTCAATTTTTCAAAATGAATACTTAAGGCACTTGTAGATTAGACTGACTTTTTAAATATTGGAAGTAAAAAGACCTATTAATCCTTAAGTAAATGTAAAAAACTAATATAGGATTTAACTGTCTTTTGTTTCAGTCTGAACTTTGCAGGTTATTGTCACTTTCTGTTCTGGGTTGAAAGCATACCCTGTCTCTTTAACGAAGTGATGACTAACTGTGAAGGAGAGTTTTTTCCTTCCATTCTCCTGAAATTTTAAGAATGGAAGGCCTCTGGTATTTTAGTCAGAAGACTCATGAGTTTCCTGCTCCCACTACCTTCTCAGCACATGTCTGGAGGATTGTCTTGAGGAAGAGAACCTCTCGCCTCCTCTTGACCTCCTACACCGTAGACTCTAGTGCAGTCTGTCAGACCTGTGAGCATGCTCTCTCCTCTGCTACACCATTTCTGTTCCTTTCTTCAGGTCCTCCAATCTTCTCCAAATAGCTACAACCTCAACTACAACCAAAATGAAATAAGATTTTCAATCTGACTTTAAGCAGACCGTGCAAGGTTTAGGTGGTGTAGACTCACATGAACTTGAACCTCTTGCTGAGGGGTGCAGCTGCTTAGCAGCAAGTTCAAGGCTGGGCTGCACACCAAATGAGCATTCATGCATTTCTGGCCTTGTTCAACACTTAAAGATCTTTAAGTTGCTTGACTTTTCAAAGCAATCCTAAGTAAAGACATGGAAGGCCTGGCCTGTGATAGCTTTGCAGGTGATCCTGAGCTATGGTAACATTGTGATGGATTTGCTGAGGTTTGGCAGCATTGGAGAGGTCCTTTAGTTTGTGCCGTCATTGTGAAAGGGGAACTCAAGGGTTTCACCAAACAATGGAAGAGGAACCTAAGGCTTGGCGGAATTGAAGGGGAGTAAATTTGGAGCTTTGTTCATGAATCAGTATATGCATGTCAGCAAGATGAGGGTTCTAGGCCCGGCAGTGCTAGTTGTTTCGTTTCCAAGAGATGTCTGCAAAAACTGAACTCTTACGTGTCTGGTTTCTGCAACAACCCAAGTCCACTATCCCAGCTACGTTGAAATGGCAGTCTGGAGATTTAGCTAGGGAGATTGTTAAAGTAGTCCCTAATCTACAGATTGGCCCTGAAAGAGTTACATCTGTGAAATAAATGTTTTATACATTTTATTTTGTAAAACTTTATTAAATATTATAAATTCTTTTACTGAGGAAAAATGACAGATTAAGGCAGAGTTAAAATGGGATACAAGCAGGCACATTCAATAGGACAGACCATTTTACCTTCAAAATCAACACCAAGGTTATCAACTATCATAAAAGGAATGAAATACAGTACTTACCTGAAGAACTTGCTGAATATGTATAAAATGTTGCTGTATCAGGTAAATATTCCTCTATGTTTGATGCAGGTAAACCTCTCCACTCATTCATTTTAGTCTCAGTGCATTGCCTCTTGTTTCCTTTTCTTCTAAATAATTCATAATTGAAGGCCTGCTCTTCTACAATTTCATTGCAAAAATCAGTTGTTTGAAAGGGAAAGTGGGTACTATTACAAATTTCAGACTTGTCTGCATATGCATACTCAATCTGTGAGTCATAATCTGAAAATTTAGGATTAATGTACGGCATTCGTTCATGATTTGCTCCAACAGCCCTATGACGTTGGTGACAGAATGGTTCACTCAATTGGTAAGATGAATTATCCAAATGTTTCCCAGATAAGACTGGGAAAGCTTGATAAGAAGTCATGGGATGATGGTTCTTGACATTCTGCAATGCTGTAATGTCACTGGCCTCATCTTTCAATCCATAGCGAAGTACATTAATGTCATGCTGAGGAAAGAAGCCATACTGTGTACTGCTGCTCGATTTTATACCCAGCCTCTTGTTTGCTTTTTTTTGAGACTTATATTCTGCAGTGTATGTGTGCTCACCCATGCAAAACTGGTCAAGAGAAGGCATTTTGCTCTTTTCAAAATAAACGTCAGGTCCCACAAGGTCTGAGCTTTTCTTTAATGCTAGATGACTCAGGTGATCAGATAATTTATGTTCCACTTGGTGACACTGTACTCCAACATTATAACCAGAACTTTCAAAATAGTGAGGTAGACCATTTTGCTCATGTTCTGCCATTTGCTTCACTCTTGAATGCAAATGATTCTTCAACTGATAGCACGGTGAAAGGGTAGCAGCCCTGGATTCAAAAATTGGTCTGAAATTCTGATATCGAGTTTCAGGGAACACATTCCCAGTCTCCCATAGATCCCTTGGTCTACAAATGTTAATCATTTCCGAACCTTCTGATTCTTCAGGTCTCTCTGAGTGAACACTCTTTAGTATATCGTAACTTGAGTGAAGCTGATGGTCAACCATTTCAGACACAGATGGTGTAAAGCTTGACACAGTTTTGTCAGAAGGTGATTCCTCTTGTGATTTTCTTGATTCTTGTGATGTGCCAAGCCTGTGCAATGCAGTTATCTCACTGAAAAGCTAGAACAACAGTTTTCATTAAGAAGAATAAAGAATAAGTGAGTTTCAAAGAAAATAACATAAACATGGAACTACAGTGAATATCGTAAATCACAAAATTGATCTGAATGGTGATTCCAATGATTTGTGCAGTTTTCTTTAAATGTTCCCTTGGCATTTCCTTTATAGTACAAAACAATATTTCTAAAAAAATTAGCAATTAAAATCAAGAAGTACAAAAAAATTTGCTACCACGCAATAAAGTAGCTTGTGTAATTCACAACATCCTGATTTCATTTTATCTTACTTGACAGGATTTGGCTGTCACTGGCGAGGCCAGCAATGATCTCCCATCCCATTACGACTGAAAGGTTTGTTAGGCTATTTCAGAGGGCAGTTGAGAGTCAACCACATCACTGTGGTCCTTGAGTCACATATAGGCCAGGCCTGGTAAAGATTTTCTTCCCAAATTATATGAATTAACTGGCTGCATTTTTAAGGAACACTGGTGGTTCCATGGTCAGCATTACTGATATTAATTATTTTATGAAAGATTATTTAATGAACTGAAAAAAATCTCAAGGCTGGGATTATCATTTCCAGATCATTAATCCAGACATCTGGATGAATTGACCAGAAATATAACTGTTATATTAATGTTTCCCTTATCATTTTTTTCTATTCATTTTCTGTTTGACAGAAAATCAGGTCTAATTAAAAGACTACTTTGGATGATACTAACACAAGTTACCATATTCCAACACTATTTATTGTATCAAGAAAATACTTCAAATTGAGAAAACAGAAACAGATTATTAAGGGTACCGAACTTAATTCATATAAAGCTGCAAATTTCAAATTGGTACCTGGTTCCCCCACTGATGTTGCAAAACTCATTAACTACACACATTAAAAGAAATATGGTCAAGATATTTTCCCTGTTATTTTGTTCAATAGTTTTCAGAGCACTGGCAATAATTTTTTGGAGATCTTGACTTTGGACTAATAGATATCTATTTGGAAAGGCTTGAAGTCAATTGAGCACATAAGAAAAAGAAACAGGTGTATGCCATGCAGCCTCTTTATACCGTTCTGCCATTCAATAAAATCATGGCTGATCTGACTTTGGCCTCATCTCCCCTTTCCTGCCTGTTCCCCTTGACTTCCTTAGAGTGAAAATTGAGTACAACTCAGTCTTGAATATATTCAATGGCTGAGCTGCTACTTCTCTCTGAGGTAGAGAATTCCAAAGATTAACATAAAAGCAAAATATTGCAGATGATGGAGACCGAAAATAAAACAGAAACTACTGAATAAACCTAGCAGGTTTGGCAACATCATTTAACATTTTGAGTCTGATTTGACTCTTCTTCAGAACTTAAGGGAGATGTACAATGTTGTTTTTTATTCTATTGACCAAGGGGGAGGAGGACGAGTGTAACAGATGGTGAGGGTGCCCAGAGAAAAAGACAAAGAAGTGCTAACAGTAGTAAAGGAGAGAGATAGATGCAGAATAGGTGTTAAGATAGATGTGATTCGTAGAAAACAGGGTAGCTCTGCTGAAAACAAAACAAAAACAAAAGAACTGCAGATGCCTGAAATCAAAACCAAGAACGGAAAATGCTGGAAAAGCTCAGCAGGTCTGGCAGCATCAGTGGAGAGAAGGCAGAGTTAACACTTCAGGTCCAGTGATCCTTCTTCAGAATTCTTCTTTCCAGCAACTTAAATTTTTATTAAAGGTAAGTGGTAATTTCTAAACCAATTAGGGTCAGAAATAGGTTTTACAACACTGATCAGAATATCTGGGCCCTTTTTGCAACACCTGCAGAGACTGACAAGAATAATAAACTGCTAATGAGAACAGTTACGTGTATAATGGGTAATTTAGGTAACTCACAAAGTGCAAGTGATAATGAAGGCAGTTTATTTTGTATGAAAAGAGGGATGTTTGGGGATCAAAATGCAATACTGTACTAATGCACCAATTGACTTGCTTTAGTCATGTGACTTCCACAATAAGACACTCACAGCAGGCATTTATCTAACAGTCAGTTCAATAAAGTCACAGTCCATGCCAGACAGTTGTCCTGTAAGTTTGTAACACAAACCCTCATTTTACTGGGGCAGTGAAGGAATCAGGAAGCCAGCACATTCTTAGATCTATTGAGGCTCTTACATTAATAGCCAATTAAGTACACCATTTCACCCCTTCTGCTATTTTACTCACAGCAGGGTAGCTCCACAACAAGTGGATAATTGGATAGTTTTGGCTGCATGGTTTGGTTTTGGACAAGAGAGGTGGGACCTTCTTTGATGGTCTCCCGTGCCCAACAGAGACACCAGCCCTCTTCAATCAGCCTCTTAAATTGGGCCTCCAATGGCTCAGGCAAGCCAGCGAAGTCCTACAGATATCTTGAACTTACCTGAGATCTAGCATCCATAACCTCCTCTTCTTTGGGATTGCCTGTGGTCCCTTAGCGGCCACTACTTGAACTATGTGCTGCTGGGACTGATGCAGTTGAGTGTGAAGTTTCTGAGCCATGAAAGAGCATAGGTCAAGTTTTTTCAGAGCCAGAGGAAGGTTCAGTCATTGTTGTTGCTAATGCATTATTCCCTTCTCTTTATCTATTATTGCTATTCATAATTCAACTCCCTAGGTTGCATTTGTTGGAAATCCCTTCCTAGATCCTTCGGCTTCTCCACTTCTCTCTCTGCCTTTACAACCCTCGTAAAATCCATTTCTTTGACTTTGTTTTTTTGGCCACCCCTCCAAATACTTCTTAGTTTTTCACTCTGATTCTATTCTTCTCTAAAACTTCTGATTTTGGATGTTTTTCTACTTTTAAAGACATTATATAAAGTCAAGTAATTGCTGTTTAGTCAATTTTATGCAAAAATTACAAGCCCATAATTATAGGCAGATCCAACACCTGCCAAGATCATTAAAGTAGAAAGGTCACATGAGGTGGCAAGGTTGATAGGGTGACAATGAAAATAGCTTAAAGAATTTATATGGATAAGTTTGGGGAGAACATAAGGGCAGTACAGAAAAGAGAGTGAAGAGATCTGATAGTGGTTGGAACCAAAGATGAGGAGAGGTTTAATGCGTCAAATAATTTTTAAAGAGAACAAATTAGAATGAGGAGAAAAATTGTCTATCTTTCTCTCGCTCTTCTTCTGCTTCATCAATGTTAGAGATTAGAATTCCTGTGTAACACACGTAAACCATTAGTATTAATCCTTCCTGTTAATACACAGGTCATAATCCTGTGTTTTTTCGTAACAAGTAATATTAAATGAAGAAAGACACAGCACTATACTATTGTTCTGTCATCATTAGATCTCAAATCTGTAGAATATGCTTTATTTTGTTATATCCTTCATAATATTTGTAGCTGATTAATTAGAATATCAGTAAGTTATTTAAATCCAAGTAATGTCCAACCTTCAGAGCTTTTCCTGGCACCTCAGGAAGGATTTCCTGCAATTCATTAAAAGTCGCAGACAGAAGCCACTCCATTGATGGAGCTTTTCTCAGCATCAATTGTGCAACCAATGAATTTAAACTGGGAAAATCAAGTAGCTGCTTCTCATCCTAGAACAAAATAAATGTGTTTCATACATATGCAATAATATTGAATTGCAGAGCAAGGTCAAAGAAACTGAATGGCTTACTGCTGCTCTATTTCTTATGTTCTTATGTTGGTACATGGGCTTTCAAAAGACACTTATTAAGATACTCCATAATAGACTTATCAGGTAACTAAAGCCCATGGCATTTAAGGGCAGTGGCAGGATGGACATGAAACTTGCAAAGAGGCAGAAAACCGAGGTAGATGCCTTTGCTTTTTTGCAGCTCATCTAGGATGAATAATACCAAGTGTAACATTGTAAATGAAATTTCCATTTTGCTGCTGTATCATCACCCAAAACAGTTAATAGAAATTCTAGGTTATTATAAATTTTCAGCTCCCTAGGTTGCATTTGTTGGAAATCCCTCCCTAGACCCTTCAGCTTCTCCATTTCTCCTTCTGCCTTTACAACCCTCATAAAATATACTAAAACACATAGCCCCTCCTTCTCACAGCCTGTTTGAAAGGAGTGTGTACACTCCATTAAATTTTCCTCCAGACAATTTACATAGGATTGGCCAAAATGAGGTCAACATTTGATGCATTTGTGTTTCTTTATTTTTGGTTTTCTTGATTTCTCTTAGTTAAATAAAATTCATAGAATTCTCTGTAAAATTGAAAAGATTAATTAGATTAATAATGTAAGCTTTCTTTGTGATGATAGTTAAATTAATATTGGCATAAATTACAGATTGGTGGACTTTCAGGTGAGCAAAGAGTCACATTCACAGGAAGGAGTACGCATGCACCCTCTACTGACTATTCAGAGTGGTGAACATTGTAAAGTGGTATAAACAAGTATAAAGATATAAACATCATAAACAAGTGGTAAATCTGAGGTACATTAGTAATGATTGCTCCCTAAATGCCTACACTAAAATTATATAATACACTTGGATGATAACATAAAATATGGACCTCAGTTGGAAGAGTAGAAAGCCAAGATCTATCGAGCCATGTGAATGGATCCTTATTGCTTGAAAGCAAAGTGAGATCTGCTATATGGCGAACCACTTGGGCTGTCTCTGTAATTCCTGGTGCAAGCACAACCTAAAAGTATGATAGGAACAAAATTGTTACAAATAACTCAATAAACTGTATTAAACACTTTAGGTCTGCTTTTGAATGCTTTGGACTTAATTTTGTTATTGCAGATCATCTAGGCTTACAACTTAGATTTAAATATTATACTTGTAATAATTTATGCTATAATGAATAAACTGATTACCGCAAACATGGGAATTCACAAGCTTTCTGTTGAGCAAGTGAAAGAAGATTGCCTGCGATATAAAACCTTTTATACTGTTGCAATTTCTAATTATGGCATGATTTGGTACGACAAAAAATACTGAAAATTCCACTTGAGTTGCAGAGGAATTGGTTGAAATAATTAACAATTGTGGAGGGATATTTATCTTGCAGTCACAGTCAGTTGTCCCTTTCACCCATACTTAATTTTAATCATTGGTACATTTTATAATGCAAATGTGCTATCTTTCTCAGCTTGCCTAAAGTATGAAGGCAAATTCTAATTGGCCACTGAAACAGCTGGTCATTTGGATGGCATATGCCCTCAAATTGGTATTTGAGTGCCAGTAAGCTGAACGGAGCTGAGCACGTTGAATTTGTAAAATCAGCTGGTTACTGGAACAGCTGTTCTTACAGTTGACACACGCTCCATTCGTTGGCACCTGAATTCAGACAGTAAATTTAAGCAGTACCAATAAGCTCAGCACTTGCTGACTTTCAGAGAAGCTGTTAAAAATATAAAAATTGCAATGTTGTAAAATGTTAATGCTTACAAAGCTAGATGTATGAGAATTAAAAGTGTGACATTTGGTTTCTTCTTTCACCAACTGGCTATCAGAAATATAACACCAGAAGCTTCCTGTTACTGGAAAACCTATTTCCACAAAGTAAAACTTAAGACAGCAGACAACATGATGATATTTAAATTGACAATCCACTTCCAGGAACAGATTGGCTGCCTTTCATCCCACCCCGCCTAACCCTGTCCTACCTCCTTCTTACTGGAAATTGGGAGGTCAGAGAGGCTCTGAAGTTGGCATTGTGGGTCTATATTATGGACTGCAGCGGGTTCAAGAAGGTGGCTTACCACATCTCAAAGGCGGCTAAGGGTAGGCAATAAATGCTGGCTCAGCCAGCAAAGCCCACATCCAGTGAATAAATAAAAGAATTACTACCCAACCCAAACTAATCCATTTTTGTGTGGCCAACTATATCTCATCACTGACCCTTGTAATCTTTTGTACAATCTTTTGATGCATCAAAGCACTGCCTGATCCACCCTAACTCCCCAGAGGCATTTCCGATTCATCCCCCTAAGTCAATTTGTTTATCCATGGAAACCCTGGAAAATTAGTGATAGTGCCAGTTATACAAGTTTTCTGGGTAGAGCACAACGGCAATAATCTGTCAGGAAATTTCCATAGTATTTGATCCTATTGGTTTTGTTGCTGTAGCAAGCTTTTAAAAAGTAAAATTCCGAAAATATCTCAATGAAACAATACAGACATAAACTTCAGGTATGCTTAGGAATGTGAATAAATTGTCAAAAATTCATTGCTGGATCTATATTGGTAAAGTAACTTCCCAATTCCAATAAAGATATATTCTTAAAGGAAATGTTACATTACAAGTAATTTCCCTACTTGGTGTAATCCTACCAGTTGGTCACCTATCACTTTACAAAGTAAACAGTTCTGCTTTTTAAAATAAATTACAAGAGAAAATATAAATTCACTTATTCATCATTATCTGTATTTGTACCTTCACTTCAATCTCCTCTGATTTAATCAGAAAAGGCACAAAAGCTGCATAGATCAAGGAAAGATTATGAAAAATCTTTTCATTAAAACAATATCTGAAAAGGAAACAGGACAAGAGAAATGAGTGCAAAACTTAAATTCAACTATGTACGTTATTTCATGAGTTTCTCGTTGATATTTTCTGATATGGGAAGTTGTAAGGGTGATTTTATGTAATCATGGTAAGCAAGTTGGAACATCATGCTGCAGCAAGTGCACAACCTTACTATTTTTATAATCAAATGTTAGAAATTAAAATTCATTCTAAAGTGATTTTGAGAATATCTGCAGCACGTGTGGAAAACAAATTGATAGCGGTCAACTTGTTAAAATCTTATATTTACTTACTGTGTGTTTAGGCTTTGTTTTGGATAAAAAATGAGCCAGCAACAGCTGTACTGTAGTGCCAATGTTGTTAATCTTCGAACAATTAAATCTGATGCTTTTTCAGTAGTTAGCTCCTTGATATCCTAATAAGTATAAATTGTTATTACTTCTTGATCACTTTAATGCAAAGTAGCTATACATTTTGTTTACATTACTCAACTTATTGTGCCTCCTAATGTAATGTTGTCTGGAAACTTGGATATACTGTAAAATACTTCAACCACCTTTGATACAGTACTTTACTTTCTGTCTCATGCTTCACAACCAATTACGACCCTAAGTCTCAAGATTTCCTCCAATTCCAATCATTTTAACTTCTGCAACTCTTAAAACAGGAACTTTATCAAATGCCTTCCAAACACACATAAAGACAGCATCCAGAAATTAGCCAGAATTCAGAAATTCTTCAGCTCGTATGTGTTAAAATATTCTGTCATTATATACCCGATGATAGCAGTGGGGCAGTCATTCAAAAAACTGTAGTTTAATAGTTTTTCTTTCTCATGTTTCATAAATAATGCTTTGGCATTCAACTTTTTTTTAAATCTATGAATTTGTAGTACATTATTATTGTTTGGGAAACTTGGTTTCTAAAGTAGAGTGAAATGAGTTTTGGTTTTGGTTCAGTGATGGTGCCTTTTTTAAAGGTTAGAAATTCCTTTTATAGCATTGGGTCAAAATGGCTGTTCTAAAAAAGCATGTGATATAGCTAAATAACTAGCAAGCCACCTGGTGAGATATTGTAAGCTTTTACGTTTTACAGAAACCGAGGTCAGATGTCAGAAGGTGGTTCAATACAGAAATAAAGATCCATTCCAGCAAATGTGCTGTTCAGCAGCCTCAAAGCAATCAAGGTCAGGGAAAAGCCAGTGGAATAGCTTGTCTGTACATCCCAAGAAAAGATGGAGAGAAAGTCATCAAAAGGAAACACTTGTGAACTCATCAGTTGAGTAAGAAATTTAAAGGTGAATATTGGAGTGATACTTCAGTGGAGTTGGCCGTCAATGTTTCCTGTTCCATTGGTATTTCATCAATTTGCGTGAAAACTGATGCAGACGAATGAATTATCTATCCCGATTTGGGTGTGCAGAGTATGTATAATACCTCACTCCACAAATCCAACTTGGGAGAAAGTGCTCAGGAAGTTGGAATCATGATGGGTGACCTTCTAAAGAATTTGGAGTTGTTGGGTCCGAGATAGTGTGGGTGAAAGACTGGCCTCTGTGCACCAGCACTTTGTTGAAACAATGAGAGAGAAAAAAAACCCCAAAAACAGCCCTCCAGTCCTCATACCCTTCCACACTTTCCATGCCAAATCCATGACGACTCATGTCAGCTAATGTCCCCCACCTACCTCCATGGCCTCCAGGCCAACCTATGATCCTCTACCCAAACCGACAGCCATTTCTAGTCTTTAAGGCAACTGAAGGCCTGAAATAACCCCACAGAGGATATCACCAAGTCATCCTTTATTTACAAGTACGTAGTACTTGACACTAGTCCTGTTTTCTCAGAGCCAATTCTCAGATGACAGAACCTCTGACACTCCTGTTTATATCAATTAGCCAGGGCTCCCTGATTAGACCAGATTAACAGCCTCTATCAGGGAACTCATATTCTAGGAGGTCTATCTGGCGGACCTTGTCACAATCACTACATCCCGCCGCCCCCCCCGCCCCCCCCCCCCCCGCGCTTAGTCCAGAGACGTAGGCCTGTTCTTTTTCTTTTAGCCTCTCCTATGGGAATTTTCGCACTGGGTCCAGTTCCTCTGACTTAGCCTTGGATACAGGTGGCGTGCACCGGACCATAGATCGCCTCTGGCGTCTGGAACATCTCAGGAGAAGTTCATCCTCTTCTTCAGGTGGTAAAGGTGTCGAGGCTGCAACATCTGCTGTGTCCATCTCAGATTTTGAGGTTTCTAGACTGAGGGGGAAGAACCAATGGGCTCTGACAGTCTTTTCGGCTGTTCTGAGGGGCTTGGTATGTCTTGCTCCTGACCCGTTTTGTGAGTTTGCAGCTTTCATGTGGTTCATGTGCTTGTTCAGCAACCTGAACTTTGTACGTCACAGGACCTGACCTTGTGTTCACCATGCCTCTTACCCATGCAGGGCCATTTCTGTGGTTTCGGCACCAAATTTCGTCTCCTTAAGATAAGTGTCTCTCTCGCTTAGACAAGTCTTGTATCCTGCATTGGCATTCCTGATGCCATTTCACCCTTCCCCCCCAAGATCTGGGATGATCAGATTTCACCTAGCGAAGAGTCTTATTCCCATTAGCAACTTTGCTGGAGCTACCCCTGTAGTTGCATGAGGGATGGTTCAGTAATCAAATAGGAACCAGGAGAGTTTGGTATCGAGTGAAGCTGTAGGCTGTTTCTTTAAGCCTGCCTCCAAAGTTTGGACTGCTGTTTCCACCGGACCATTAGATGATGGATGTTATGGAGCTATATTTATATGTTGAATGCCATTTGACTTTAGGACATACTTGAATTCTTTGCTGGTAAATGATAGCCCATTCTCTGTGATCAACACTTCCGGCAGCCAGTGTATTGTAAAAGATGCTCGCAGCTTTCCTATCATCAACCCCATGTTTAACGAATGAACTCTAAGCACGTCCAGCTACTTTGAGTGGGCATTCACAATGACTAAGAACATTGAACCCATGAAAAGACCTATATAGTCGACGTGTAGGGTTTACCCAGCCATTCCCACAAATAGTGGGAAGCTGCTGGCAGCACTTTTTGTTGGCACACTGGGCACTGCCCCACCAACGCAGCCATGTCTTCATCCAATCCTGGCCACCGGATACAATGTCTCGCCAACATCTTCATTTTGCTGGAGCTACACCTGTAATTGCATGAGGCATGCAACTGGTAGAGTTCAGCCAATATCTGATGGCGACCTTTGCTCAAGAGAATCACTCTTGCTCCCCATAATAGTATGCTGTCCTTTACTGTGATCTGGTGTCTCCAGGTCCAAAAAGGTTTCAATTCTGGTTATGACAGCCCTTTGGCTTCCCCCATCACCACCAGGTGCTTCAGCCTTGCTGGGATCAGATCTATCTGCATCCAAAGATGGATATTGTCAGCTGTGACTGGAAGTGTGTCCAGAAAATTAGAACCTTTATAGAATGTTGAAGTGGCAGTATCACCAGGGGTGGATCTGCCGGTGGGAGGTGGCTGAATGTATCCGCATTTGCTACTTTGCCTCCGGATAATGTTCCAACTTGTAATTATACATATAGTATTGGACGCAACCGCTGAATTCGGCCTGAAGGTTTGGGTGGCACTGCCTGCTCCTCTTTAAGTAGACCTAGCAGGGTTTGTGGTCCATTATTATTACAAACTTACCTCTATAAAGGTATTGGTAGAACTTTCTGACTCCAAATATGACCACCAAATCTTCCTTCTTTATCTGGGCATATTTACACTCTGCATTAGCCAAAGTCCTGGATGCATACGCTATTGGAAGTTCCTCTCCATTGGGCCAGCTGTGAGTTAATACTCCCCAGTGCTGTACTGGGAGACATGGCAGGTCAATACCAGATCTCACTTGGGATCATAGTGTGCCAAAACCTTAGAAGATGATAACCGTTTCTTCACTTCCCTGAAAGCTATGGCTTGGCTATGCGACCATTTCCAAGGCTGACCCTTTTTTAAGAGTTGATGCAAAGATGCCAAAATAGAGACCAAGTTATGTAAGAACTTTCCATAATAATTCACCAACCCAAGGAAAGGTCTAAGTCACTTTGGATGCCTGGAACACGTTTTTTTTTCCCTTCTAAGGTGTACGCTGCCTGGGAGAAATGTCTACGGACTATCTCCAAGTTCTCTAAGTGCTCCTTATTTGTCTTCCACAGTATTAGCATGTCATCTAGATAAAAAGCAACCTGGGGAGACCTTGTAAAATTTTCTCCAACGTCTGTTGAAAATTTCCACAGGCTGACAATACCCCAGATGGCAGTCTCGTAAATTGGTACAAACCCTTATGGGCATTAACTGTAGCCTATTTCTGGGACTCCTCATCTAACCATGACTGCAAGTACACATGGCTCATGTCCAGCTTCGTGAAGGACAGTCCCCCTGCCAGCTTTGCGTATAATCCTCTATGCAAGGGATTGACTATTTATCCAGCTGCGAAAAGCTATTTACTGTTTGTTTAAAATTCCCACAAAGGCGAACCGACCCGTTGGGCTTTATAATCGGTACGACCATTGCAGCCCAATCCACAAACTGTACTGGTTAGACGATTCCTTCCTTTTTCAGCCTTCTGATTTCTGCCTCTACTTTTGCCCATTAGTTAAATGGCACTGTGCGAGCCTTGCACAATCGTGGAATTGCTTCCTGGTCAACACGCAAGATAGCCTTGGCTCCTTTGATAGTCCCTAGACCTTCCTGAAAAACTTTTGGGTATTTAATTAGGACTTCACTCAGGCAGCCCATTTTCTAATGGAAAAATGGTGAGCCAATCTAGGTGAATCTTTCTCTACCAACTTCACCCCATCAAGCTTGGGCCCGAGCCTTTTACTACAATCACTGGTAACTACTTCTCAGAAAAGACTGGAACCAAAATTGTACACTTAATCTGTAAAGGTTTCCTGGCATAGGTTCTCAGCCTAGCTGAGGTCTTGCGCAAACTTAAGGATTTCGAGTCCAGAGCGAATTTTGTTAAAGACCGGTTCTGTGATCACTGAAAAGGCCGTGCCACTATTGATCTCCATTCACTTAACCAGATGTTTATTTTGATTGGTTCTGATCTGGATGTTGCTAAGCAATTTAACCGTTCCAAACCTGATGTAGGCACTCTCCTAGATACTGGCCTATGAGTTCTTTAATTCAGTGTAAATTGAAAGGGAGTCTTTTGCTGCCTCAAGTCCACACACCGGCAGCAATTACAATGGCTTACTGCCCTGAATCCTGAAGATAATTTTAACTGTTTGTCCAAGGCTTGGCTTTGTTTTTGAGGTTTGGTTGTGGGCTGATCTAGAATCCATCTGTTCAGGATATGTCCTGAGTGAGGCTATGCAGTTGCCCTCACTCAAGTCGTGTTCCACATGCTCAGTTGGACTGGCAAGGGTGTCCGCTTCCATTGGAATACCTTGGAACTCATTTACTCCACTTGCCACATTTTCTAATGATAAAGCCAAATGTAATGTCTGTTTGAAGTCCAGTTAGTCGGAACTTTTTCATGGTTACATCATCAATCCCACATACCAAATGGTCCCCAGCACCTCGTTGAAGGTTAAACCAAAGTCACATGCCTCTGCCAGTCATCTTCACCTAGTCAAAAATCCTGATACAGATCCCACTGGTTCTCGAATTGCTGAGTAAAACTGATTGCGCCTCAGAATTAGAAGAGGCTTGGAGTCGTAATATTCCTTAACTAAATCCATCAACCCTTGAAAGGTTTTAGTATCTGCTACCTCAGGAAAAGTTAGGCTCCTAATAACCAAAAAAGCTGCGGGTTCACAAGCTGTCAGGAGAATTACTCATTGCTTTTCATCTGCCCCAATGTCATTTTTTCCCGAAACAATAACACATTCTTTCCACATGCTGGGCCCAGTCTTCGATGCAGGATCAAATGAGTCAAATTTCCCAAATGGCATGATGCCAGAAATGCTTACCCCACCTCAAAGATGACTGTTACAAGTGAATTTCAAATTTTTGATAAGATTTGTAGCTCAGGTTGTGGACGAGGTTGTAGACTTGCTCACCGAGCTACTGTGTTTGATTGCAAACGTTTCATCACCCTGCTAGGTAACATCATCCGTGTGCCTCCGGTGAAGCGTTGGTGTTCTGTCCTGCTTGTTACTTATATGTGCCTCGGTCTGTTAGGGCGGTTGGCATTACTCTCAGTTCTGTTTTTCAATGGCTTGTATATTACAGTTCAATGTATTTGCTGATGGAGTTCCGGTTGTTATGCCAGGCATCCAGGAATTCCCTGGGATGTATCTGTTTGGCTTGTACTATTATGCATGTGTTGTCCCAGTCGAATTTGTGTCCTTCTTTGTGCGCGTGTATTAAGATCAGTGAGAATTGGTCATGTCTTTCAATGGCTAGTTGGTGTTCGTGTATCCTTATTGTCAGTTTTCTTCCAGTTTGGCCTATGTAATGTTTCTCACAGTCCTTGCATGGTATGTTGTATATTATATTAGTTTTATTGGTTGTTGGGTATGGGATCCTTTACATTCGTCAGTAGCTGTCACAGGGTGGTTGTTGGTTTGTGGGCTACCCTGATACCTAGGGGTCTGAGTAGTCTTGTGGTCATCTCTCATATATCCCTGATGTATGGTAGGGTGACTAGTGTGCCTGGCCGTGTTGTGTCTTCTTGTTGTGGTCTATCTCAGTGGTAACAGTCGTTA